AAAAAAAAAAAAAAAAAGAACTTTGAAAAGGTCAGGTAACATGAGGACTGGAAATTCACCATTGAATTTGGACAAATAACGGATATTCTGGCATGCAACCAACAAAAAACAACCATTGCCGTGGAGTCGGAACAGACCCATAGCGACCCCTCCTTGGGTTTCCGAGGCAGTATCACTACAGAAGTAGATTGCCCAACCTTCCTTCTGGGGAGTGGCTGGTGGGTTTGAACTGCCAGGCTTCTGGTTAGCAGTCAGATGCCTTGGGCATTATGCTACCAGAGCATAAAGAGGATGAAAATGTGATTGAAATGGATTCAGGAAAGAACTGATATGTGAGGAAGTGGAAATAGTAAAATGTACAACTTTTCCAGTGAGTATAATAGGTTGGGGAGCTCTGGTAGCATAGTGGCTAAGGCACTTGACTGCTAACCAGAAGGCTGGTTGTTCAAACCCACCAGCCACTCCTCAAAAGGAAGATGGGGCAATCTACTTCCGTAGTGATACCGCCTTGGAAACCCAAGGACGGGTCGCTATGAGTCGGGTTTGACTCGACAGCACATAACAACAACAACAACAACATAATAGGTAGTTTGTTAAATCCAGTTCCTTCCCTGATTTTAAATTTTAGAATAGCTAACACTTGTCATAAGTAGTGTGTAGACTAGGGCTTTGAACGGGTTCTTCCTGGTTTAGTCACGGCCAAGAAAGCGACATTGCATTTTGCCAAATTTGTAAAATGTGGGTCAACTAAAACCAGAATTGGAAAATTACAGGTCAATGGCCTGCTAGAAATTTAATCTCCTTCTTAGAAAACAAGGGCAGAATGTCTGTTGTAAAGCAATGAAATCTGTTGACTGCTAGGGTGGGAAACAGTGGTGCCTGGCTTGGAGATAGTGGCTTACTGCACCACTTGGAATGTGTGTCACTTTCCATAGTCCTGCCAGTAATCCAGTTTCCTGCATGAAAGGGCTCGTGAAAGGGCTCCCTGTGTCTCTTCCAAGTCCTTTAGACCATGGCTTCAACCCATAATTTTTCCTGTTTTAGTTATTCTATTATTCCCACATTTACAAATTTGAGTGTTGTAATTTTGCTGTGTCAGTAATGACTGGACCAGTTTGAACTAGTTTGAAGCCCTGGTTTAGACCCATGAGGCAATCATATAATTAGGGAAAAAATCCTCAATTTCTTGACCTCCTGGTTTAGCTATATTTAGTTCAGTTTTCTAGATCTGTATGTAAAACACTCAACCATCACTGGTGTTTACAGTAATGACTTTGAAGTACTCAAGATGCTAGAAAATAAATAACTTTGCATGTTGATATGCAGCTTATAAATACCTTTTTTTAAAAAAATTCAGAGTATTTATTAAGAAATTTTATGTCTGGATGTAGGATATCACCAGACCATGTAGATGAGAACTGATAACTTCCTAATAAATGTCTTTCATATAATATATCTAAGTTCATATTGAGGAGATACTTACTCATCAAAGATTCCCTAAGTTCATTAATCTTTTCTGGCAGGAAACTAGGATAATGCCTTTTAAAAAGCTTTTCTTTATGAAAGGATTTCTGTTTGAAACTATGTTGTTGTTGTTGTTCTTGTTAGGTGCTGTCAAATTGACTCCAACTCTTAGAGACCCTGTGTGCAACAGAACGAAACCCTGCCTGGCCCTGGCTAGCCTCACAATCCTTGCTATACCTGAGCCCATCGATGCAGCCACTGTGTCAATCCATCCCGTTGAAGGCCTTCCCCTTTTTTGTTGACCCTCCACTTTACCAAGCATGATATCCTTCTTCAGAGAATGGTCCCTTCTGACAACATGACCAAAGTAGGTGAGATGAAGTCTGGCCATTCTCGCTTCCAAAGAGCATTCTGGCTGCACTTCTTCCAGGACAGATTTGTTTGTTCTTCTGGCAGTCCAGGGAGTTCTGGTAGCATAGTGTCTAAGGCACTGGATTGCTAACCAGAAGGCTGGCAGTTCAAACCCACCAGCCACTCCTCAGAAGGAAGATGAAGCAATCTACCTCCGTAGTGAAACCCAAGGAGGGGTTGCTATGAGTCGGGTCCAACTCGACAGCACATAACAATAACAACAACAATGGGCAGTCCATGGTACTTTCAGTATTCTTCCCCAACACCACAACTCAAAACCATCAACTCCTCTTCACTCTTCCTTATTCATTGTCTACTTTCACATGGATATGAGGTTATTGAAAATACCATGGCTTGAGTTAGGCACACTTGAGTTTAAACCCTAGTTAAAGAAAATGTCTTCAAAGAGATACCTTTGCTCTTCTGCTGTTTAAAGTGGTATTTTGCAGCAGATTTGACCAGTGCAATATGTTTTCTGACTTCTTGACTGCTGCCTCCATTGTTGTTAATTGTGGAACCAAGTAATATGAAATCTTGGACAACTTCCATCATTTCTCCATTTATTATGATGCTGTTTATTGGTCCAATTGTGAGGATTTTTGTTTTCTTTATGTTGAGGTGTAATCCATACTTTAGACTGTAGTCTTTAACCTTCATCAGTAAGTGCTTCAAGTCATCTTCACTTTCAGCAAGCAAGGTTGTGTTGTCTGTGTAGTGCAGGTTGTTAATGAGCCTTCCTCCAATCCTGATGATTCTTCTTCATATAGTCCAGTTTCTCAGATTATTTGCTTGGCATACAGAGTGAATAAGTGGTAAAAGGATACAACTTTGACACATTCCCTTCCTGAGTTTAAACCATGCAGTTTCCCCTTTTTCTGTTTGAGTGACAGCCTCCTTGTTTATGTACAGGTTTCTCATGATCACAATTAAGTACTCTGGAATTCCCATTCTTCTCAATGTTATCCATAATTTGTTATATCCACACAGTCAAATGCTTTTGCATAGTGAATAAAACACAAGTAAACATCTCTCTGATGTTCTTTGTTTTCAGCCAAGATCCATCTGACATCAGCAATGATATCCCTCATTCCACATCCTCTTCTGAATCCAGCTTGCTTTTCTGGAAGTTCCCAGTCAATATACTACTGCAATCATTTTTGAATGGACTGATAACCAGAAGCCTGGTGTTTCAAACCCACCAGCCACTCCTTGGAAGGAAAGTTGGGCAATCTACTTCCAGAGTGATACTTCCTCAGAAACCCAAGGAGAGGTCGTTATGAGTCAGATCTGACTTAATGGCAGTGCATTTGGTTTTGTTTTTTTCAGCAAAATTTTATTTGCATGTGATATTAATGATATTGTTTGGTAATTTCCATATTCTGGTAGATCACCTTTCTTTGGAATGGATACAAATATGGATCTTTTCAAGTCAGTTGGCCAGGTAGTTGTCTGCCAAATTTCTGGGCATAAATGAGTGAGTACCTCCAACGTGGTGTTCATTTGTTGAAACATCTCAATGGGTATTCTGTCAATTCCTGGGGCTTTGTTTCTTGCCAATTCCTTCAGTGCAGCTGTGACTTCTTCCTTCAGTACCATTGGTTCTTGATCATATTCTACCTCCTGAAACAGATGTACATTGACCAATTCTTTTTAGTATAGAGACTCTGTGTTATCCTTTCATCTTATTTTGATGATCCCCACATCATTCAATATTTTGCCCATAGAATCTTTCAGTATTGCAAGTTGGGGCAGTTAAGGTTATGTGTCAGTTTGGCTGGGCCTGGATTTGAGTGGCTGGGCAGCTGGTGATAGTTATTCCCCATGATGAGACTTGCAGTCAACTCCGTAGTGGAATCTGCTGCGAGCTGCTGCGTAGGTGCTTTGGGGATGGGGTATGCTTCCAGTATATAAAGAGAAGCTTTGGGAGTGGTCTGCAGCTTTTGGCATGCTTGAATCCTACGTGTAGTCAAGTTGTTATTCAGCAGCCTGCCGTGTTGTCTGCCAGTCTTGGGATTCTTAGTGGACTTGAATCAATGGCCTGCCATGTGATTTGGTAATACCAACACTGTGGCTTTTCACTTGTCGACCTTGGATTTGTTAGCCTCAGCAGCGAGCAGTTGCCTGAGTGAAGAAAGCCTTCAGCTTCGGTGGCCCAAGAAGGTCCAGGGGCTTTCACCTACCCCCTCAAGCCTGGCACTTTGAATTTGGACTTGTAGCCTCCGAAACCATAAGAGAATAAATTCCTGTTTGTTAAAGTCATCCCATTTGTGGTATATGTGTGTTAGAGTGGCACATGATTATCAGTTCTTTGAGAAGTAGATGTCCCCTTCCTTCTTCTGTGTCTGTCTTAATCTGGAAGCTCTGCTGAAACTTGTCCACCATGGGTGATCTTGCTGATATTTAAAATACTGTTGCTATAGCCTCCAGCCTCATGGCAATATGCAAGCCACCACAGTATGGCAAACTGACAGAGGAGTAGTGGGTTTTAAACCCTAGTTAAAGAAATGTACTGAAACTTTGTGCTGAAGTTTTCTATAAAATGCACACAATCTGTCCACTAGGGTGTGCAGTAGGTATGAGAATGGAGTTCTTTCTTCACTTGGCTCACATCGCCTATAGTGATAGACCACAAGTGATGTTATTTTCTCTCTTCTTTTTTTAATCCCCAGAGATAGATCCCCAGAAAGAAGAAGATACATAATACCAAGGCATAATTTTGCCTTATATGCCCCCCCCCCAAAAAAAATTGGTAGTAGAATTAAAAGGCCATAAGCATGTAAAAATCAATAGCTTTCCATTAGGCCAGCAATGTCAGAAGAGGAAATAGAACATTCAGAGCAACAGAAGCCAGAAAGTACCTGTGAATAAACCTAGGAAAATATACAGAGTTTTTATGGAGAGAATTACACAGCCATGGAAGGAGATAGAAGATGTCTTCAATAAATAGAGGGCTATATGTATGTTCAGGGAGTCCCTAGAGAGTGCAGACAGTAAAGTGCTGGGCTACTAGCTGACAGCTTGGCCGTTTGAGTCCACCCAGAGTCCTCAGAAGAAAGACCTGGTGATCTTCCATTTCCATCGAAACCCTTTGGAGCATAGTTCTACTCTGTGTTCCATACTTTAGACTGAATGTTCCATACTTTAGTCTGAAATACATAGGGTTGCCATGAGTTGGAAACGACTTGCCAGCACCTGGTTTTGTTCTTGTTGTTGTGTATATTATCTTAATGAGTGGGTACATTGCGCATGTCAGTTATCTCCAAATTAAACTCAAAATTCTAGGAATTCCAATTAAAATTTCAACAGATAGTATAGGTTTATTAGAGAAGATGAATCAAGTTTTAACTATTTATATACAAAAATTTAATAACTATTTTACATACAAAAACAACGCATTGGCCATTTCATGCCAAATGCTCCTTAAAGGGGAGAATAGCCTGACGTCGTCCCATGTACTTTGGTCTTGTTGTCAAAAGGGACCAGTCCCTGGAGAAGGATACCATGCTTGGTTAAGTAGAGGGTCAGCATAAAAGAGAAAGACCCTTAAGGAGGTGGATTGACACAGTGGCTCAAGTATGGGCTCAAGCATAGCAAGGATTGTGAGAATGGCAACACCACCTAAAAACAACGTAGTCTTTTATGGGGTAGAGAGAAAGAGGGACTGTTTTTCATATTCACCATATAACCATATACATCCAAATAATAAAGTAAGTATTATCACACATGATCTATGCCTGAGGCATATAGAATTTTCAGTTCCTCAAGTGCTCTAAGCTCACCCTTGTCGCTGGGCACATGCTATTCCCTCACTTTCCCGCTCGCCTAGTTTGACTAAGCACTAGTTGCCTAATTAATAGGACTCATCCTTAAGCTCTAGGTGTAGATTGTTCTCCATCTGAGAGACCTTCCCTGCCCAGGCCTGTTACCTGCCTCTACTGGAGCACAGATCACAATCAAACAGGACATTCACAAATCCCCGTCTGCTTTTTGTTTCCTGCAGGTGAGGGAGTTTAATGGTCAGCATTTTGTTTTGGAGGAAGCAATTACAGGGGATTTTGCTTTGGTGAAAGCCTGGAAGGCAGACCGAGCAGGAAACGTGATTTTCAGGTAATGTACTTGTTGTAAGAAAAACATCGATATAATGCATTTCAGCAACTTTATATTTCCTCAATCAGGATTACAAAAAAAGGATATCTTGGTGAACTTGTAATGTAAGTAGTCAGTTTTAAAATGGCTTATAAACATAAATACATACATTTGTGTACAGGGCTGCTCCTCTGTGGTCTCACTGGTTCTGATTGGCTGCTGTCCATTTTGTGTTGTTTTTTAAATATATGAATCTCACACTTGTATATGGGCATATGCAAATTGTTTTTGCCACTGTGTATTTTAGTTGCGAAGACCAGTCAGTGTTGAGATAGAAAACGTGACCAAGACTTCTGGTAAGATGGAGGAATAGCAGACAAGCGACACAGACCCTCTTCAACAAAGAAAAGAAAAACCAATTTAGAAGATAATCCTGGAGCCCTGAGCTTTGAAAGGAACTATGCAGAAGTGGATTAGGCACCAACTAGAGGAAAAACCTGAATGAAAACAGTGAGTACAGAGACTGTTGGAGATGCGGACTGTCAGTTACTCTGACCTGGACCAACAGCCTAAATATTTCCAAGGGTGTTGGTACCTGAGAATTGTCCTAAAGATCAACCCTGGTCACCAATGGCTGCAGGGACGACTGCTCTGGTGGCCTGTGAGTAGGAAGGGAAACAGCAAGGAGGGAGACAACCTGAGCTGTTGACTTTCTGCTGTCTGGAGGGCATAGCCATTTTGATTGATTACACGTGACAGCCACTTTGGATGTTTAAAGTGACTGAGGGCACACACATTTTGAATGTTTACAAGTGGTGGCCATTTTTGATATTTAAAGTGACTGAGGGCACAGCCATCTTGAATCTTTACAGGTGGCAACCATTTTGGATTTTAAAGTGATAGCATTCTCATTCGGATTCCAGGGACCTAAGAATAGGCTCTGTTTGCCAAGGTCGGCAGGGACATATGAGAGGCTGACAAGAGGAAAAGAGACAGGTGGTGAGTGTATAAGTGCTGTCAACTAGTGAATGGAGGAGCACAGTACCCTGCTTGTGTAGATAACATACAAACAAAACAAAGAAAAGAAAAATCGTGGGCAAGTCACTCCAGCATACAATCACCAATTAAATATAAACACAAAATCGTCACAATGCTTCGAAGACAACAGAGCATTACAGTCCACACAAAGAAGCAAGATAAAGCAGGAGAAACAGGGGACTAGGATACAGACTCAAAACATATCCCTGAGGAAGATGTAACATTGGAACTCCCTGATAAGGAATTCAAAAGAATTATATTAGGCATCTTCAACGAATTAAGAGACAGATCAAGGAAAACACAGAGAAAACCCTAGAACAATTTCAAAAGACAATACAAGAACAAAATGACAAAAATGAAAAATTAGACATGATATAAAATCTACTCATAGAAATCCAGAAGATTAATATTAAATTTTCAGAAATAGATAAGACATTGAATGGGTAAATGAGCAAAATTGAATCAATGGAAGACAGAATTAGGGAGATTGAAGGCAAATACCTGAACAGTTCTTTGTAAAGGGATCAATCAGAAAAAACATCAAAACAAAATGAAGAAAGCCTAAGGTTCATGTGGTATACCATCAAAAAGAATAATCTACATGTAATCAGAATTCCAGAACAGGAAGAGACAAACAAAACCACAGAGAAAGTTGTCGAAGATTTGTTGGAAGAGAATTTTCCTGGTATGATAAAAGATGAGAATATATCCATTCAGGAAGTACAGTGAACCCCAAACAGAATAGACTCCAAAAGAAAATCACCTAGACATATCATCAAACTTAACAAAACCAAACACAAAGAAAGAATCATCAGAGCAGCACAGGAAAAATGAAAAGTTACCTAAAGAGGCAACCAATAAGACTAAACTTGGATTTCTCAGCAGAAACTATGCAGGCCAGAAGACAATGAGACGGTATATATAAAATCTTGAAAGAGAAAAATTTCAACCAAGAATTATATACTCAACAAAATTGTCCCTAAAATGTGATGGTGAAATTAGGACCGTTCCAGATAAGTAGAAATTAAGGGAATTCGTTAAAACCAGACCCACCTTACAAGAGATGCTAAAGGGAGTCCTTTGGACAGAGAACCAACAACAACCAACAACAGCTGACCATTAACACACGTGATGATATAACCTAGAAACCAACCCAGCCATGGAAGTATCCAAAGTAAATAAGCCTACAGGATTGTAAACAGGGAACCAGAGACATCAGTTGACAAATGAGGATAACTATAAACCAAAAAGAGGAAAAAAAAACTGTTGTTACAGAACTTCTAGATTGTAGGGAAGTTGAGACAACTACAAGATAGAACGGACAGTTGTAAACTTGGGAAGAAAACAATAAATCACAGGGTAACCTCAAAGAAAGATGATAAACCTTCACATCAAAAAAAGAGGACCAGCATAAATATTCAGCAAATACTAAAACAGTAGCAATGAAGGAAGTGATAACATTTTATGTTGATTCATAAACAAAATAAGCTCAGCAGAGAAAATTATATGGAACAAAGAAATCAACACCACGAAAAAGCACATAACAAAAATGACAGCAACAAATTCATATTTGCTGATAATTACATATCTGGCAAGGGACTTATCTTGAAGATTTATAGTGGAAGAGTGAATGACCAAACTATGGTACGTACACATAATGGAATGCTATGAAGCACTAAAGAATAAT